ACCAAACCTTGCCCTCCTCTGGGGCCTCAGCCATCGCACGGCAGTGCCCGTCTGCTTGTGCCACCGTGGCCAGGCCTAGTGCCTTTATCCTAATCATCAAAAATCACAGAACGTCAAGCCACTCACCCTTCGCACTGAGCCACTGAGAACGGCAGTTAGTGTTTAATCCACTGTGGCGATCAGCCCTGAGATTCCTCTGAACAGAGAGTCGCATCTTGCACCAAGGACTCGTAGGCCACGATGGCAACATGTATGCTCCATGAGGGTTTTTAATTGTGTTGTTGGAAAAGTCATGAATATTTTCCTATGCAAAAATGTGTCATGACTCAGAGATGACCCAATATTTTATTCATTGCCTTGTTTCCAGTCCCTGAGACAAGGGGGCATAGTGGATGTTCGGCTATCTGTGAAATAAAAGGCTGTCCTGAAAGGTCTCTCCCAAAGTTGGGAGCAAACCATACAAAGAACATTCCAAGTCTGGCACATAGCAAGGGGAGAGGACGCCCTGACGTTCCGGCCCACACTAATGTTCTGATGCTGTGTAGAAACAAATCACAGTACTTTCCACAGCAACCTGGTGAAAAGAGTGGCCTCCATTTACTGTCTGCAAATCTCTCTAATTGCCAAATTAAGACGGGTGGATTCTCCTGCCTCTGCACTCGATCAGTTGCATATCACGTTGCCTTTGGAGAATCTCCTCTCACACAGAGAGATAACGGCAGTAGAACATGTAAATAACGTTTTAGTATTGGTTTGAAATTAGCTTGGGGGCTAGCTCGATGGTCTGGTAGTTAAGGCAGTAGGATTCCACATGGTCGTCCATGTGGTTTGAGTCCCAGACCCAGTAGCTTGAAACACATTCCGGGACATGTGAGTATGCGTGTCTAAAATCCTGAAAGAAGGAAGAGATGGAGAGGGACTGCACTGTGACCGTTCCCCATAAAGGCTGCTTTCTCCTCTCCTTCTCCACCTCTCTCACTTTTTGGTGATCGTACATGTACCCTAGCAGGAAAAAAATAGTCTTGACTTCGTCAGCCACTGAAAGAGACTCAGGGGTTCCTGAATGGCCCTTGCAAGAGGAGGAGCTATCCAAAGATCAGAAGGAGGGAGAGGAAAATCTCATTGACTCCATGCAGCCACATTTACAGGAAGGCTGAGACATTTGATCAGTCTTTGCTGTTACTTTAAATGTTGCTTACTTTCTACTTTACCATATTTCAACAGGAAATGAACTGCTACTTGAAGAAAAGCAAAGCCAATGCTTCTGACAAGACAGACCCCAGAACAAAAACCACAAGCTATAACTCCTTCCAGTTCCCATATAAATGTCGATTCTTAATGTACATTTACCTTTTAGACCATCACTTTTAAGTGACATTCTAATTATAAGACTCGTAAGTCACCTCTCTCCTGGCTTTTCTTCTCTTACACAACTTTTTACTGACTGTCATTCAAATATTATTTAACAGGACAAAAGAGCAATTTCCATTCACCAACCAGTTCCAAAGTGCTGCACAGCTCAGGCTTGCCATGAACAGCAGCCAAGAGGTAATCTACAAATCAACCCACCGAGTCCCTTCTAAACACGTGCGGTCGTTCAGCTTGTCCTGGAGATTTTTATCTACTACAGACTATTCCTAAAGAAGCAAAACAGCTGTGCTCATTTAAGCATAGATATGAAAAATAATTCTTTATGAAGAATCATTGCACATCATCATTTTCTCCATACTTAAGATACATGATTGGGACCAGCAGTTGGCACAGCAGTTACATCACTGGACTCCCACATAGCAGACCACGGTTCAAGTCTTAGACCCTATGCCTTGAAAATCCACGCAGGGTGCGTGCGTGTGTATGTCCAAGATCCCGGGAGGAGAATGGAGAAGTGATTGTGGTGTGGCCACTCACCCCACCCCCCACCCCCGGGGGACTGATTTCTCACTTTCCCTCTTATTGTCTCTCTCTCTCTCTCAGGCATTAAAGCAAAAACCTCTTAAAATTTTTTTCTTTCCACGTTTCCCTTCCCATAGGCCAAAAAGAACAACAGCTATCTGGCTTTCGTGTCTTATTTAGATCCACACCCACCTTACTAATTCATATAAGAGCTTATTAACTAGACCAGCACTCCCCTGGCTGTACAGGCCTTGGTTTGAATATGGAACCTGCCACTGTCAATGTGACTTGGGGCAAGATACATAATCTGCACCTCGATTTTCTCAGCTTTTTTAGAAAAATATTTATTTAATTTTGTTATTATTATTATTTAATTTGATGAGAGAAAGAGAGAGAGAGAGAAAGTGAGAGAGCAAGTTGCCAGGTTTGAGACTTTAACTGTGGTTGGCCACGTGGGAGTCCAACACCTTAACCATCACGCCATCCGCTAGCTACAATTTTCTCTCTAAATTTTCTTCTCTAAAATGAAGACAATTGGGGACAGCAGATGAAGTAGCAGTTATGTCACTGGACTCTCACATGGCCAATCACAGTTCGAATCCTGGACCTGGTAGTTTTAAACTCACACTGGGCATGTATGTGTGTGTGCCCAAGATCCCAGGAATCCCAGGAGGAGAATGGAGGAGACGGGACTGTGACATGGCCATCTCCCTTGGGGGTTGATTTCTTGCTTTCTGTCTCAATTTCTCTCTAGTGAGAATTAAAAAAAAAAATGAAAACATTTAACAATATCTACCCGTAAGTGTATGACAGGATTAAATAATGAATAAATGAGTAAAGTGTTTAAAATACCGCCTGACACAAAATGAGTACTCATTACGTGTTGACTTCGTTTGTGTATATCAGTCTTCAAAGATAGCATCACTATAGTTACAGCAGATACAACAGTCCATAATAATCTAATAAATCCCCAGAACAATAAAAGGGCAAAATACTAAAAAGAAATGATTGTTTTAGTATCCATCCTTTTTTAAAAAGTTATTTATTTTTTTTAATTATTATTTTAAAATTTTCTATAGAGCATGTGCACTCATCAGACAAGAGAGAGAGAAAATAAGAAAGAAGCCTCCAGGTCTGGGACTTGAACCACAGTCGGCCATGTGGGAGTCTAGCGCCTTAACCACCACACCACCTGCTGGCCCCTTCCTTCTTAAAATAGTTAACTGTTTGCATTACCTAAGAAAACGCTGACAAGTCATGGAAGGGGTATCAAAGACATTTCAGAACAACTATGATTCTGTGGAACAAGGAAAAAAAGAAATTCGGGAAGATGAAGACTTGTTCTTCAAAATAGAATCTTAACAGAAAATTTACTTAGCTATCTAGAAATAAGAGAACTGTGCATCTGCTTGGACACAGATACTTTTACAGGCACGATGAAACTATTACAGCCTGGAGATGGTGTTTGTTCGTACATACCTATAAGCATCATATACACCATAAGACATGCAGGAAGAGTTGAAGGTCTGTAACTCTATTCTCACACACAGTCTAGAAACATACTCTGGGGAGAATGAAACTTGAAGTCAAAAAGAAAACTTTTTTGTTGCTGTTTTAATTTTGCCATAGGGCACATGCTTACCAGAGAGGCAGAGAAAGAGAAAGAGAGAGAGGGAGAGGAGAAAGCACCCGCAACAGGGAAGGCCACGCCACAACTGCTTCTCCTCCATTCCTCTCTAGAGGTGTCGGACACACACACACATGTGCCCTGCATGTTTTTTAAGCCTCTGGGTCTGGGTCTCAAACCACACAGGCGATCATTTGAGATCCAGCCACTTTAACCACTATGATATTGGCTGGCCCCCAAAAGAAAACTTTCATTAAAAATTTTTTTTAAATCCTTTGTCTTTGGTTAACCTAAAGCTGAAATGGTTTAACTCTTGGGGTATACCAGGGAAAGATTCATGTGTGGATGGTTGGTACATAAAAATGCTAACTGAGGGATCAGCAGGTGAGTAATGGCTATGTTGTTAGACTCTCATGTGGCCAACAGCAGTTGTAATCTGGGACCCTGCAGTTGAAACTCCTGCTGAGTGTGTGTGTGCCCAAAATCCCGAGAGGAGAAGGGAGAAGGGATTGCGACATAATCCTCTCTGGGGGGTGATTTCTTGCTTTCTGTATCTCTCTTTCTCTTCAGAGAGCCCACACAACCTATAGTAAAAATCTCTTTAAAATAAATCAAGCTGAAATACATATGAGAATGATAGCATTTAATGAACACTTACTATGTTCCAGCCTATATTTCGAGTTTTTCATATGGATTCACTAATTAACCCTCGATATCGCCAGGAGATAGGCATTTTATTGTACCTACCTTATACCCAATGAATAGAAACCCAGAGAGATGAATTTGCCCAAATGTCAAGTTAAGACTCCCTGGTCAAAAACTGGCTCCAAAGCCCATGCTTTTAGCCACTACACAGAGAAGGTTACACAAATGCATGCCATGCACATCTACATTCTGGGAAAGGGCTAAGATTCAGAAAGAGATTTTTGGATAACTATGTTTGAATTACTGACAATAAGAATGCATGGGCTTGTGTAACGTAACTGTTCTTTATTTCATAAACTTAGACAAACATTTTATGGGGCTTTCTGTGGAATTCTGTTTGATCACCACATAACACACATCTGCACTTGCTCAAATAAACAGAATCCCCACGGTGAGCCTAACATCACAGCAGTTGGCAGTACTTGGAGAAAAAGAAGGGGCGGATAATTACTCATGATAGGTTATGACAGACATGCTTGCTATCCAACCACCAGTAAGCTTTAAGGCCTAAACTTATTTTAGTGTGATTGCTGGTCTCCAGGTCCCATTTTGTCTTCAAATATGGCTGTGTCTCTGCCGAGCTTAAGTTAATTCATAGTGCTAAAAATTTCACAAGGTTAAAGTGGCAGATGAGACCAAGAACAGGTCAAAGATAGTCAAAGATCGCTCACCATAGCAGTATATACCACCCTCAGCCACCTGTTAAAGATGGGTCATACATAATATTACTATGAATGGTTTTCATTAACAATATTTTATTAGTTTTATTTCTTACCCATTTAACAACTTTTTCCCATCTTCTTCCATATTATTCCACAGTCATTGGTTGGGTTTCCTCTTCTCTATTGCCTACAGGGAGGAAACAATCTATAAGGCTGTGCTAATACACGGCAAAAACCAAAATGTTATTTCATGAATGTTCTTTCTTATTCCCTTACAGCTTTATTTTCTTCCTTTAATGAGAGTGTGAATGAGAGAGTGAGCATGCAAGAGAGATGCCCCCTCAACAGGGTCTTACCATGCCGTGGTCCCCTTTCTCAGCCCTCCAGCTAGTCAAGATCTCGGGCATGCATGGCCTGCATGTTTCAAGTGCACTCAGAATGCATGATTGGCCATGTGGCTTCCAGCACTGCAGGTCAGACACTACTGCCTGTGACCATGGCTGAGATGGCAATTTCATGAATTTTACTTACAAATTCAAAATCATTTATGTTACAGTGTAGCAAACTCCTGATGGGTTCTTAAACTGATATAAAAAAAAGGGGGGGGGAAAGCTGTGATCCTTTCTAGGTATGAGCAATCAAAGATTCACTAATGGGTAGAATGATCCTTAAATGAGGGCTGGTAGGTGGCATGATGGTTAAGGTCGACCACTTCCACATGGTCGACCACTGTTCAAGTCCCAAACCTGGCAGCTTGCTTTCTCTCACTCTCTCTCTCTCTCTCTTTCTTTGGTCAAATTAAAATAGTAATAAATACATAAAAATATTTTTAAAAAATGATCCTTAAATGGAAGTACTAAAGGTTTACTTTAAAATGCACTGCTATGGGAACAGCAGTTAGCGTAATGGCTATGTCGCTGAACTCTCACGTAGTTGACAGTGGTTTGCGTCCTGGACCCGGTGGCTTAAAACTCACGCCGGGCGCGTGTGCGTGCGTGCCCAAGATCCCGAGAGGAGAATGGAGGAGAAGGGATTGCGGCGTGACCATCCCCCCTGGGGGGTGATTTCTCGCTTTCTGTCTCTATGTCTCTCTCTGTCTGTCTGGCGAGCGCACGCGCCCTATAGCGAAAAACCTCTCCAAATAAATAAATAAATTAATTAATTAATTAAAATAAAAATAAAATGCACTGCTACATTTTAGGTATTAAAGATTGTACATTGGGACCAGCAGATGGTATAATGGTTACATCACTGTACTGTCACATGGCCAACCATGGTTCAAGTCCCAGACCTAGTGGCTTGAATCTCAGGACAGGTGCATGTGTGTGCCCAAAATCCTGGGAAGAGAATGAAGGAGAAGGGCTTGTGGCATGGCATCCCCCCGGGGTGATTTTTTGCTTTCTGTCTCTCTGGAAAGCACACACACCCTATAGCAAAAAACAACTCAAAAAGAAAAAAAAAAAGATTATACATTGTCTTTGCATATAATCTGAGGCTATCAGGAAAAAAACACAAATTCATGTTAACAACAAAAATTATTTTTGCATAAGCGGAATATATAATAATGCAAGATGGCATGAGGCAGATCTTTTGTGCTAAGTGGGTTCGTGACCTTTAGGTAAGCACCGTACATATAAAAGCAGAATATATTCTATACACAAGGGCATTAGTCAAAGATACCTAGAACTTATGATTTGGGTAAATTACACATTTAATCACTTTTTTAGGTTTCAGATACTTTTATTCAGGAAGCAGGACTCGGTAAGAATTGAAAACTAGTGTGCTTGTGGGACCAGTAGTTAGGGTAATGGCTATGTCACTGGACTCCCATGTCCTTGACAGTGGTTCAAGTCCTGGACCCAGAGGCTTAAACTCACACCAGGCACGTGTGGCTGCGTGCCCAAGATCCCGAGGGGAGAACGGAGGAGAAGGGATTGCAGCGTGGCCACCCACCAGGGGGTGATTTCTCGCTTTCTGTCTCTCTGTCTCTGTCTTTCTGGCAAGTGCATGTGCCCTATGGTAAAAAAAAAATAAAAAAATAAAAAAATCAAAAAAAGAAAGAAAGAAACTAGTGTGCTTGGCTGCCATGTAACAGGATGAACAATTCTTCCTTTCGTTATCCTAACAGCAAGCACAAGAATTCCTCTTGGAAGAAACTTTCTTTGTGAAAATGTGTTCCCTTAATGTGGGCCCCCACTTCTCATGTCCAGGCCCCCTACAGAATGTACATTTCCCTGCAGAATGGCTGTCAAGATTCCAGAATGGTTGTCAAGAAAGGGAATAATATGTTTTGCTTTACACAAGGGGGAAAAGCAAATTGTTTTTATCTCTGAAAAGAACAAGAAGAATGATGAGGAGAGGGACAGGAAAAGAAGAGTTTGTATGAAGGAGGAAAGCTGGGATTGGGTGGGGGTGAAGCTCTAGGGTCAAGGGAGGTCTGAAAACATTGTAAGAACAAGGATGCCTTCGAGGGAAGCTGTCTGCTTCAGTGCAAAGTGAGGCTCAGCCCACCTTTATCCTGCCCCTCTCTTCAGTTATGTACACAAAATCCACAAACGCCCTGTGTGAATAGGGCCTTTCTAAAACTCAGATTAGCTGGTTCCGTTCGTATCTAGGCGTGGTAAGGTACAAATCAGTAGCACAGGCAAGAAAGTTAAGAGCTTAAGATGCAGAGGAGGTCGGAAGATCACGACACTCAGGAAATACAGAAATATCTTTAGGGAGTGCTTACCATTTCCCCATGTTATAGGTTGGAGGGCTTGAGGCAATCTTATTCAAGAAAGCTAATCTTACACTAAATGGAGGTTTCACATCTATAAAATACCCCTCTTTCCTATCCAAAAGGAACCTACTTTCAAAATAAGAATTATCTTGGTAATTAAAAATTTTAAAAGTTAAAGGTAACTTTATTATATTTAATCCAAATTATTCTAATTAATTTTGGATGCTTCTAAAAAGTTGTCTACAGGGGCTAATAAGTGGCACAGAGGTAAAGGCAGCTGGATCCCAAATGGCCGACTGTGAGATTCAAGTCCTGGTCCAGCAGCTTGACAATCAGGCCAGGTACAAAATAAAACAAACAAACAAACAAAAACAAGTACAATAATCAGTTCTATACTAAATAGCACCTAGGATATGCAATCATACAGAGTTTAGATTTCAAGTTCTATGAAACAGTTATTAATTTAGAGACTAACAACATCAGTAATTATGATGGTAATCTTGAAAACTGGGAAACTGTAAGTCATGTCAACTCTGAAAATTACTATTTTATTTTTTAAGAGAGATTTTTGCTATAGTCTGCGTGCGCTTGCCGGAGATACAGCGAGAAAGTGAGAAATCATCCCCTGGGGGGATAACCACAACACACTCATTCTCCTCCATTCTCCTCTTGTGATTTTGGGCATGCATGCACACACACCTGGCGTTGAGTTTCAAGCTGCCAGGTCTAGGACTTGAACCACAGTCAGTCATGTAGGAGTCCAGTACCTTAACGACTATGCCACCTGCTGGCTCCTCTTTTTCTTTGTTTTCTTTTTTTAAGGTTTTTGCCATAGGGCACGTGTGCTCACTGGAGAGACAGTGAGAAATCATCGCTGGGGGGAAGGAGATGGCCACCCCACATTCCCTTCTCCTCTGTTTTCCTCCTTGGATTTTGCACACGTGGGCACATGCATGCACATCCAGTGTGATCTTCAAGCCACCAGGCCTAGGACTCAAGCTGCCATTGGCCATGTGGGGATCCAGCACCTTAACCACCCCACCGCCTGCTGGCCTCAGAAGGATGTATTTTTAAGACAAAGCCAAAAGAGGTGAAAGCCTTAGAAGATACAAAGCAAGAAACTCATACAATTAAATGAAGAAAAAACTTAAATGTGCCCACAGCTAACTGGAAATTTCATGTAAAATTTTAAGGAGACCATTATCAACTATGACAATGGACTCAGCTGCTATGTCAGGAAGGCCAGCATAAACTGGGAAGAGAAGCAGATTTGGTAACGGACAGTCTAGGTTTCAGGCCACACTCCGCCACCGATGAGCTGTGGTCTCCAGCCTCCCTCAAATCCAAAATTCTGAAACTCTGTACATGGTACCCAGAGAAAATAATAATGCAAAAGAAACATACATTTTGCATTTCACTGTACAACACGCTCAGCATAAACAAAGGGCTCAGAATCTGCTGACTTTACTATTCTAAGATTCAAAGTTAAATAGTTTGCTGTGGCTTTTACCCATTAACAGCTCTCATTAATGGTTTAAGTTCAAATTCAAGGCCTCTGCACAGAAACCGCAAAATAGACAGACCTATGAATTTCTGTGAAATACAAAAGATACTAGGACTGTACTTTCACACTCTGTGGCTCAGAATCATCTATTATATGCAGCAGCAGTGCTGTTCACTTGCCAAATGGATTGGTTTCTTATAAGCTATCTATTAATACTCCATTAAACAGAAACTCAGTCCACTGGCTTACAAAGCTGTGTTGTGCAGTATACAAGAAATGACAACCTAGATGTGAGCTTCCTGAGGGCAGAGAACGCTTCTCATTCATTATTCTATCCTGCTGACACAGAGTACTACATGGTACAAAGAACATATTAATATATAGTGTTGGGCAAAAGAATCACTGGCAGAGAATACCATTTTAAAAATTTATTATAAATTTTACTTCTTAGGCAAAATGCTTTCTAACATTTATAAAGTACTTATTTTCAGTTAGAAACCTCATGTGGCACTGACCAATACAAATGCAGTTTTATCAACCCTTCACACGCACATTTTTATATTAGAATAAAACAAATTTTTGTATTAGAATAAAACAAAATTTCATACTATTTTAATATTCTTAAATAAAAACAATATGGGACCAAGACAAAGACATATAAGAGATCCATAGTCTCAAACTGAAAGATTGTCAAGTCTCACGTTAGAAATTTTCTTCTAGGAGGCTGGCAGGTGGCGTGCTATTTAAGGTGCTAGACTCCCACATGGCCAAGTGCAGTTCAAGTCCTGGACCGGGTGGCTTGCTTTCTCACTTCCCCTCTTGCTATCTCACTGGTCAAATTTTAAATAATAATAATAATAGTAATAATAATAATATTTTTTAAAAAAGGAAATTTTCTTTCTTAAATGCCTCCTGTATGACAGTTAGGATCAAAAGGCTTTGGGGAGGAAGGCAGTAGGTG